AATTCCTCTCCCAGTTGAACATCACTTATACTTATATTTTTTCACTAGTGGCATTCCTGTGAATTTCCTCAGTGGGCACCTGAATATACTAACCTTTCCAATATAAACGCAGTAGTTCATAAATGGCTCTTATAAGCTGATGCTACACTGTAATGTGGGGTCTGGGCTCAGGGTGCCCATGTCTAACCCATTTCCTGTTTTTCTACCCAGGTATGCTTTGACCTCATTGGCAGTTGTAACGCTGGACCCATTACGCATAGACAGGACGCGGACGTGATGACAGGACGCGGACGTGATGACAGGACGCGGACGTGATGACGGCACTACTTTATTTTCGAATGTGATCACACTGTGGTTTTTGTTTTCACAGACACTCCCGTTCTGCTCTCACGTCACTGTGAACATATAAAGAGACATAATCGCACTCACGTCCCAGCACACCTGTTCACCCCGCCCCTGCACCGCCCCGCCCCTCTGCAGCCGGCCAGAGACCACGCCCACGCCACAGCAGCATGTTTGGGATCACTGTCATCCTGAAAAACGAAGCCGCTGTCAATCACTCCCCCACGCTACTGTCTGCAGTGCCGAACCACGACGTAGCCTCCACCATGTTTTACAGATGGGGTTGCACGGGTGGGGTGGCTGTAGCAGGTCATTTCCTCAGTGGAAGGTTGGTAGTTCGATCCCTGGCTGCAGCCCAAATATCCTCGAGCAAGACACAAACCCAAAGCTGCACTGCGATACGTCCATCGAGTGTGAATGTTGCATAGACGATAGAGCAAGTTGTCCGCTTTGAATGCTCAGAGCAGCAAAGTGCTGTTTAAGAACCAGTCGCATTCACACACTCAGTCGCATCTCAATCCTGACTCTTTTCATCTATTGAACCAAAACTGTAAAACCTGCATCTATCCCTCCATCAGACCTGTTGCCACAGATTTTCAGTCCAGTTCTTGCACAGTTTGAAACACCTTTTCTTTTCTTCTTGTTTCTGACAAACAGTAGAAGCGACGCCTGAGATGCAGCTCTCAACTCCTCCGTCAATTATTTGCTTGGTTTTCCCCTTTTTCTTAACGACATGATGCTGAGATGCTGTTAATGTGCTATAAATGTCGAGCAGTTCAGGAAAACGGTGCATATTTACTACACATTTGTCATATTTGGTTCCTATTTACTCTTTTGCATTTGGGCCACTTAAGGCTTACATCCAGCTTGTGCAGGGCAGAAGGCCATCAGTGCCGACTCACTGCAACATGTGGCCTCCATCCACATGCTCACATTAAGAGGGGAGACAGGATGGATGTTGATGGAGATGAATCAGTGCAGTTGGTCTAAAAAGACTGAATATTTCACTTGAATATCCTGTTCTTTAAAAAACAAGTAATCACACACTAAGCTGCTTGTTAAATTATTATTATAAATGTAACGATGGAAACAATTTGATCCGAATGAGATTTAAAACACATGAATGTTGGAGGCGAGAGGCTTTTCGTCCCTGCAGATAAAGCTTGACTTGATGTCACAGTCAGGCCTGACACTGATATGCAAACTGACAAAG